GTAATTCAATATATGAGCAAGGGCACAAACTTGGATTTTACAAAAGTGTATTAAGACACCGAGGGTCTAGAAACTCCTCATCAAAGTGAATGTGCATTGCTATCTTACTTAATCTATTACTGATTCTATTACCTTCAACAGGTAGACTATCAAATGAGCATCTCCTAAACATTGAGCTTATGTCTCTTATGTCTTCTAGGTGGGCTGCTAGACATATGTCTCTTGAAGCTTGACTTTTTATCAGTTGTAACACCTGAAAGCATGATGTTTGGATTGTAATGTACAGCCAGCCTTGTGCCATTATCTTGCATAGAGCCAGTTGTAAAGCCAAAAAATGATCCAACGTAACTGATCCAATGCTTCTCTCCTTCAAAACCCAAGCTGCACATATCTGGCTTTGTGCGTTTTGTGCTGTGATGCCAATGCCCATATTCTGACCTTTGATATGTTGCCGCCCCACTTCGACTGAAATGATCAGCATGTTGTCACTTTCCTCCACCATTTCCTCTTGTACTTCTGCTATATCTGTTTCTGAGATGCTCAGCTGCTGCTCTATCCGTTGGGATTGTTGGTATTTCTCCCACTCTTTTACTACTTTTCTAATTACTGCCATTGGATGCTTGACTTTGTCTTCAAACTCGGCTTCGTTCTTGGCTTTCCAGATTTGCCAAAGAATTTCCACTGTTAATGCTATATGCTCGGATCTTCACATCCATTAGCATACTCCACCACCTCCTAAAGTCACCTGTATATTCCTTAAGTCCATCCCACTGTAATGGAGCCATTTGCCATATCAGTCTTGCCTTGCTGCAATGGAAGAAAATGTGTTCTATTGTCTCACTATTTTCTCCGCACGTTTTGCATATCAGGTCACCTTTCCCTGTTCTTCTAAAAATGGCTTCCCTTCCTGGTAATGTTTGGTGTAAGTTGTTTCATAGAAACAACTTTTGCTTGTGCTTAATCTTTATTTTCCATAGCTGTTTCCACACTCTATCACTCCCACCTGCCCAGCTTGTTTCTCCCATTAACCGCACTTGTGCTGTCAACTGCCTATTCTCTCTTGTCATTATTTTATAGGCTGAACTGACTGTGTAATGTCCCTTGTTGCTAATGGCTCCAAAAGTAAGTGTCAGGCTAGCCTGTTATGCTTATAGGCATTTTGAGTATTGTCCTTGCTTCCTATTGGGTAAAGGTCCTAAAAATGAGTACTGAGTTCCATCTAAAATTGGATATCAATTCACTTGCTCTACTGATCTTGCAACCTGGCTGTTTAGGGGACTGTAATTTACCATCCTTGCCCTCCTGTAGCCATGCATCCTCCCAAATTCTGATAGTCTTCCCATTTCCAATTTTCTTCCTTGCTCCTCTCTGCACATCCTCTCTTGCCCCCATCAAATTTTTCCATATCCAGGATGAGTTGCACTTTACTTTACAGCTCAATGGTGATGCTGTAGGATAGCATCTAGCTTTCATCACTTTACTCATCAGTAGATTTGGGCTTGTGAGGAGTCTCCAAATCTGTTTTCCCAGAGAGCTTTGTTGAAACCTTAGAGGTCTTTGAAGCCTAATCCTCCAGTGTGCTTTTCAGTTGTTGTCTTTTTCCAGGAGCACCAATGAATTTTCCTTTTCCCATTGTCTTCTCCCCACCAAAATCTTGCCATCAAGGCACTGATTTCTTTGCATAACTTAAATGGGAGTTTAAAACACGACATGACATAAGTTGGCATTGCCATGGTTATGGCTTTCAGCAAGATCTCTTTCCCTGCTTGACTTAACTGTTTGTTGCACCAGTTAGAGACCGTCTTATGGCATTTATCTCTAATGAAGCCAAATATTTGGTCTTTACTTTTTGTGATAACCATCGGCAGCCCCAAGTACTTTCCTTGCTTCACCACCTTTATTTTTCCTAGTCTGCTGCAAATCTCTCCTTGTTTGGCTTGCTCCACATTCTTGCTAAAAAAAACTGATGACTTATCCATGTTGATCATCTGTCTTGAGCCTCTTTCATACATCTTTAGAATTCCCATCACTTCTTGTCACGCCCCGAGCCCGCACGTGCCCGTCACATGACATCCGCCGTACTCCCAAGTCTACATTAACTAATTTAACTTTAAAGGTACTAAATAATTTAACTAAATAAAGTGCGGTACAAACCACGTATAAAAGAAAGTCTACAAATGTTCCAGACGTTCGTACATTTATTCTTTGGTTGAAACAGCGGAAATAAAAGTAAATAAAACTAACAACTAGAAGTAGCTAGCTTGCCCACTTCTTTTCATCTAAACTAATAAAAGTCATTCTCAGGGTCTTCTACGTAAACCAATTCATACTCTTCAGAATCTGCAAAAATGGTAAGAAGTGGGTTGAGCGACATATCGCTCAGTAGGTAATATTTACCCCTCTGTTGGACCATGCACTCTTAGTTTTATAGATACATATATATATATAAGTACAACTCAAATCATTTGCAAATCATTCACATCCATAATTTTGAAAGTAACGTCATTTATAAACAATCAGTAGTAAAGAATGACAAGCAATTTAAAAGCATCTTGTTGATAATTATACATGAGAAATCGTAATGTCATAAATCACTTTATAGCAATTCATAAGTCTCTTCATATCCATTCCTGAATCGTCCTATAAAACGTTGCATTTCAGTTCATAGATCATTTCAAATCAGCCCATAAGTCATTTCATATTAACTCATAAACCTTCTTTCAGTTCAGCTCAAACAAGTACATGTAATGACCGGCTACTGAGTACACAGTCTAGAGATTAAACCCCTTCTAGGTGGGCGACCAATAGATTTCGCGACTATCGATTGATCTCATTTCATTCTTAGGTCAATCGGCCGAACTTTATACCAGACTACCATGGCTTTGTCAAATTGGCCGGACTCTATACCAGGCTACCATGACTTTACCAATCGGCCGGACTTTATACCAGACTACCATGGCGATTAGACAGGACTATAACCCCTACCGTCTATTCCATGACTGCTTTGAGCCTTACTTGTCAAAATTCATTTCATATATCATATACACAAATCTTTGTTTTCATAAAAGATTCAGCTCATTTTGTATATAAGAACATAGCAAAACATTTTAAATAAGTCACATGGTCCATTTTATATAGTAAAATATTGCTTTCATAAATATCCAAGTAAAGCATTTAATCAAACACTTTTCGAGTCAACACAACAAAATAGTATTGAAACAAGAATTTCATTTTGCACATTTGAAATCTCAGAAGGGTAAGTACCACCTACCTTCGTTTGGCTGCTCGAGTAGAACTATCTTAGGTTCTTGTATTGCACCTATCAAATGCATAGGTTCCCTAATCAGTTGTTACTTCCTATAGATGCATAAATATACAACCTCTAAGTAAGTACAGTATTCATATCTAGACAATTATATGGACCCTAATAGCATTTGCCCCAAATTGGATGATTTTTATTTTTGGAAAGTTTCCTAATATGAAAAGTTTCTATTTTTAGAAAGTTTCTTAATTTGGAAAGTGCTCATTTTGTAAAGTTTCCTAATTTAACAGAAAATAATTATTCACAATCCTGGTGATTATCCTCACTACTATCTTACTATGTTTATTATAATTTATGATTATCTATTATTATTATCACCATCCCCATCATCGCTAATTTATTTTATTATCACTTATATATATATTAGGTAGTCACTATTACCTTCCCTTTATTTCCACTTTTAGGCGTGTGTAGGTATTATTATTATTTTTATATATCTACTCATACACTTATACATACTGACTTTCTATAATTGTTTAGTTTATTCCACTCGTAATTATATCTTATTTTTGTTTATATTCTTCATTTATTTCCCCCACGTCCACATTATTGTTATTCTCACTATCATTGTCTTATTAATTATTATTTACTATTACTACTACCACTAGTATTATTATTATATTTATCTTCATATATATATATATTTTATTATATATATTATTATTATTATTATTATTTTAAGCATTCCGTTTAGCAATTTAGCACTTACCTTACCTTGTCTGATGTGGTTTAAGACGGCTAGATTAAGATGTTTTAGATTTCCATTTAAGTACCTTATACGTAATTAACTAAGTATAATTTTATATGACTAACCTTTCAATTCTAACAATTATTTTAAATTGGGTCCTGAATTTTAATACCTATGATAAACTATAAAGATGGACTAGTTATTTTCTAAAATTTATTTACTGCATATTTACTAAACCCGTACTGTATCTTTAACCCACACATACTTGCCAATATATATATATATATATATATATATATTTATATATGTTTACTTATTTACTATAGTCATTACTATTGATTAAAAAAAAGATTTTTTTTCCCGTAGGGTTACTCCACTGGCGTTGCTTTGCCAAAGCTTTTGTCAAGCTTTGGCAGCCGCCATTCTTGACTGCTACTTGTTTGGTTGTTGTTGTCCCTTTTTTTTTTTTTTTTTGCTTCGGTCTTGGTTTCGGCCAACCTTTGCAAATTTCTTTCTCAGCCGCCAGAGATGGCGGCCCCCCACTCTTTTCTGTTTCTGCGCGTGGCGTTGCAGAAGCTCTGCAACGCCTAGCCATAACAGAGCAGCAGCTGTTGCCGCTGCCTTTCTTTTCCCTTATCATTTTTTTTAACAGATTCCAAATACCCTCTAATCTCAAGATTAAAATCAATCCCCTTTATTTCTATTAACCCAGATACGAATCTTATCAAACATATATCTACACCTATATAGTAACAATACTTGTCCATAAAATTCCTAGAACAATTAATACATCTACTAAAACTTAAAAGAGGGGTTTTCTTGCGTGAACTCGAGACTTACAGGTTTAGGTGCCTAGTCGTCGGATCGATTGCCGGTGTTGCCTGCTTCTCTTTCTCTCCTCTCTGACGACTCTTGCTCTAAGGAGGCAGACGAAAGAAAAGTAAGGCTAGGGTTATTTTCCTGTCTAGGGTTTTAATTCATCAAATAGGAATGAGTGAAGAGGACCAAGAAAAGACGGCGTTCTACACCGACCAAGGTGTTTATTGCTACACCACCATGCCATTTGGGCTAAAGAACGCCGGGGCGACCTACCAAAGGCTGATCAACCGACTCTTCAAGAATCAGATCGGCCGTAATGTGGAGGCTTATGTGGATGACATCCTCGTCAAAAGTCTCGCCACTTCATCCTTCCTGTTAGACTTGAGGGAAGTCTTCGGGGTCCTGCGAGACTCGAGGATGAAGCTGAATCCCAAGAAGTGCGTCTTCGGCGTCACCTCGGGAAAATTCCTGGGGTATCTGGTTTCCCACCGGGGAATCGAAGCCAACCCCGACAAAGTCAAGGCCATTCAAGATATGTCCCCACCTCGGAACCTCCGAGAAGTCCAAAGACTGAATGGACGCCTAGCCGCACTGAACCGCTTTTTGTCTCAATCAGCTGAGAAGGCCTTGCCCTTCTTTAAAGTGCTGAAGAAGTCTGATCAGTTCGCCTGGACGGAGGAGTGTCAGTCTGCCTTCGACCAGCTGAAGCAGTACTTGCACCACCTGCCCACTCTCGCTTCACCTCGGCCCGAGGAAAAGCTCTACCTCTACCTCTCTGCAGCAGACGAGGCTGTCAGCGCTGTGCTCATCCGAGATGAGGGCACCCAAGTGCCGATCTACTACGTCAGCCGAGCTCTTCGCGGGCCGGAGACTCGATACACTCAGGTGGAGAAACTGGTGCTAGGACTAGTCCATGCCGCTCGGCGGTTGAAGCCCTACTTCTTAGCCCATCCTATCTCGGTCAGGACTGACCAGCCCATTCGGCAAATATTGGTGCGACCCGAAGCTTCTGGTCGCCTCACCAAGTGGGCTGTCGAGTTGGGAGAGTATGACTTAACATACGAGCCTCGCACAGCTATAAAGGCACAAGCCTTAGCCGACTTCCTCGCCGAGCTGACCTTCACGGAAGGTCCAGAGTCCGCCTCCGCCGGAACTGAAGTGTCCACTTCATCCCCATGGACATTGTATGTGGATGGATCTTCTAATGGAGATGGCAGCGGGGCCGGACTTCTTCTGGAAGGACCTCAGGGAGAGGTGTGCTCCTACGCCCTCCGCTTTGGCTTCTCGGCCACCAATAATGAAGCCGAATATGAGGCTTTAATTGCTGGACTCCAGCTGGCCCGAAGGCTCGGCGCCCAGCAAATCCACGTCCGCAGTGACTCCCAACTTGTTGTGCGCCAAGTTCTCGGTGAGTATGAGGTCAAGGATGAGACCATGCAACGATACCTCTCCAAGGTTCACCAGCTCACCGTGTACTTCGAGTCATTTGAAATCCAAAGAATCCCCCGGTCCCAGAATAAGCGAGCCGACGCCTTATCCCGGCTGGCCTCCACTTCATTCTCTGACCTCAACAAAACGGTTTTAGTGGAAGTTCTGAGTGAACCCGGATATGTGGAAGAGGTGGCCTGCCCCGTGCACTCCGAAGATACCTGGATGACCCCGTTCATCCTTTTCTTGGGTCAGGGAACACTCCCTGAAGACCGAGCCGAGGCGAGAAGAATACAACGCAAGGCGGCTCGGTACGCTCTCCGCGATGGAGAACTGTACAAACGCTCTTACCTCGGCCCATGGCTGAGGTGTGTCACTCCCGAGGCCGGACGTCACGTCCTCCACGAGATCCACGAAGGCCTGTGCGGAGCTCACGTCGGCCACAGGATGTTAGCCAAGAAGACTATGCTCCTTGGATATTTCTGGCCGTCACTTCGGCAAGACTCCCAGGACCTCGTTCTCGGCTGCCCTTCCTGCCAAGTCCACGCACCCGAGCACCACCAGCCTTCAAACTTCATGGTCCCCATCACTTCACCCTGGCCGTTTGAGCAATGGGGGACAGATATCATAGGTCCTTTCCCTAAAGCTGTCGGGGGTTATACTTTCCTGGTGACCGCGGTGGACTACTTCACTAAGTGGGTCGAGGCCGAGCCACTTCGGACCATTTCGGGGCTGGCCATTCAAAAATTCTTTTGGAAGTGCATTGTCTGCCGCTTCGGCATACCTCAGATCATCATCTCGGACAATGGGAGACAATTTGCCGAGAATCCATTCAAGACCTGGTGCGAGAACCTCGGCATCAAGCAACACTTCACTTCGGTTGGCCACCCCCAGGCCAATGGTCAAGCAGAAAACTTCAACCGGACTCTCCTGCATGGCCTCAAGACCCGACTACACCAAGTTGGGTCATCTTGGGTGGAGGAACTCCCCAGTGTCTTGTGGTCATATCGGACCACGCCGAGGTCAGCGACGCAAGAGACCCCATTCTCCCTGACCTATGGCGCCGAAGCTGTCATCCCGGCTGAAATCCTTACTCCCAGCCCTCGGCTGGCAACCTATGCCGCCGAGGTGAACGACGAAGAGAGGCAGCTGGACCTCGACCTCGTCGAAGAACGAAGGGACCTCGCCTCAGCCCGGATAGCTTCATATAAGAACACACTGGCACGCTATTACAATGCCCGTGTCAGACATCGTAGATTCCGTCCTGGAGACTTGGTTCTTAGGAAAAATTCAGTCAGTCGAGCTGAGCCGCAAGGGAAATTACGCCCGAAATGGGAAGGCCCTTACCGAATTCTGGAATCTGACCCTAAAGGGTATTGTAAACTGAGCTACCGAGATGGCTCATTAGTGCCGAGGTTTTGGCACGCCGAGAATCTTAGGTTGTATTATGTTTGAAGTTATGACTTCATTCGGTTATTTCATCAAAGTTGACTCTATCCAGTTATCATGCCAAGCTATGACTTCGGCTATTATGTTATTTTTCAACATCGTTATTACGCAATTAAAAAATAAGGGGGACAAGCAAGGGATGAAGTCAAAGCAAGAAACAAGAAATTAAAGAGCTGAGATGAAAAGAAACAGACTTTCATTCAATAGAAGTATTACAAAAAATACAAGGCCGAGGTCGGAGTGCTACTAAACACTTCACCTCGGCCACCCCCTCGAAGCATATGAGCCTAGACCCCCGTCTCGGCTCCATTCCCGGTCTTGGCTCCCTCCTGGGCAGCCTCCTCTTCGGCCTCTTTTCCGCCGGGGTGTTCATCTCCAGGCTCTTTTCCGAGGTCCCCTCCGACTTCGTCCCCCCCGGCCTCGTTTCCCTCAACTTCCTCTACATCCACGTCCTCGAACACGTCGTCGAGTTCGGACAGCCACTTGTTGAACTCGACCTGGACTTCGGCCAAGTTCCTTCCCGCCTGAATGCCTTCGGCCATCCGATCACATAACTCCTTTGAGTCTTCATTGTAGCTGGCATGATTTTTCAAAGACTCCAAGGCTTCGGGGGAGAGGTGAGCTGCGGCCTCGTCAATGGCCGATGTGAAGCCAAACATGAAGTTAGGCGTAAGCAGTTGGCCGAGTTCCTTGATGAAGGCATCGGACCTCCGAAACGCGTCCACAGCCGAGGCTCCAGCACCCTCGAGAGCTTGTGCGTGGGACTTCTTCACTTCGTCCCCCCTCTTCTGCTCCTCCTCGAGGGCTGATCTAAGACTATTCATAGTAGCCTCGGCCTCCTCACCCTTAGCTTCAGCCTCTTGAAGTTGCCTCTGAAGCTCTGACTTCTCGGATTCGGACACCGCCAGTTGTTTCTCCAACTTGGAGATCTGAGTCTGCAGCTTGCCGGTGTCCTGCTCCTCGACTAGAGCACAGTATCTGTGAGCCATCTCGGCCGCAAAAGCTGAGTTGGAAACCGTGGTCACCATCAGACTTTGAACCAACTCGGCCGGGCTCAGTTTTTTCATGAACTCCAAATCCCTTGGCAGAGTGGAGTGCATTACTAGCTCCTGTGCAACCCGAGGATGCTGGCACCGGTCGTTGACCGAAACTTTCCAGTTCGGACACCAATGATTGCCGGAGTGCGTCTTCTCCTCCCCGGGAAACACTGGGGGGCTATGGAAACGATTTCATAGCGAAGTCCCCGAGACTGGATTGGCCGGGGCCTTCAGCTGCTTGCCTCGGCCCTGAGGAGGTGGGAGTGCCGTAACGATTCCGAGAGGCACTCTCTCTGGCACGGACGAAGTGGACCCAGTAGCCGCGGTGGCCGAGCTGCTCTGGCCGACCTTGGTGGGAGTGCTTGTAGCCGCCGGGGTCTTGGCAGCCTGTCCCTGTGCTTTCTTCTTCTTTGGCGGAAGTGCCGATGTCTCGTCAGTACTCTTCCTCTTCGACCTCTTGGCCACTTCGGACGAGCTGGAGACGACGATATCGGACAACTTGACCACTGCACAAGAAGTAAATATTATCATATGCCTTAGCCGAAGTGAAAAGAAAAGCCATGAAAGAAAATTACGAGGTTTCTCAAGTTTAATGGAAAAGAAGGGGGTCTTGGTAGTGTTGATCACGGCTCGACTTATCCCCCCATCCACGAGCACGGTTTCGGGGTAGTCATGGCTGAACAGCCGAAGTCCCGACTTCATCAGCTTTTGGAAGGACTCTTCTTCGGCATCCCCGGCAGAGGGGTCGGCCTTCGCCTTAATTGGCCTCCACCAAAAACCCCTCGGGAAGTCCACTCCGGACACGAAAAAGTAGTCGCGCTTCCAGTTCTTGATCGAGCTGGGAGCACCGATCACCAACTTCGGGATGGCATTGTTCCGGTTGCCAACATAAAACCATCCCTTATCCGTCGCGTGCGCCTTGAGGGTGTAGCATCGGCGGAAGAGATCAACGGAGGGAGTCACCTCCTGATGTCGGCACAGCATTTCAAACCCCACAATGATGCGGATCGCATTCGGGGTGAGTTGGGTGATTCTCACCTGGAAGTGACGAACTAAGTCCCGGAGGAATCTCGACGTCGGCATTCTCAGCCCGGCCTCCAGCTGTTGAACGTAGACGGCCACCATGCCAAAGGGGGGCTCCGCGGCTGTGTCACCCACCTCGGGCGGCAAAATTTCGTACCAAGGCCGGAAGGGGTACTTGTCTACCACCTTCATGGCCCTATCTCTTCCTACGCGACTCCTAAACTTCGGCATCTGGCCGAAGTCGATGTCGGCTACGTCCACTGGAGCAACTGGCTCCGGTACACCCTCGTCATGGGGTATCTCGGTCCCGAGCTCGGTATTGTACTCCACCTCGGAGCCGCCTTCGCTGATCTCGGACGATTCCAGTTCCGAGGCTGTCTCTCCGGCTCTCACCTCGGTCGATCCTTCCTCGGAACTCTGTGCCGACCCCTCCGAACTGGACGTCGTCGCTTCTTCCTCAGAATCCGCCCGCACCTCGGTCTGGTAGCTCGGGGTCACGGTTTCTTTATGGGTTTTCGCGGTTTTAGCCATGAGTGAAAGACGAGATAAGAAAGAAAAAGGGATACTTACTATTGACTACGATATCGGACGCAGTGAAGACTTCGGCAAGGATCTCGGCTGATGGAACTGACCTCGGCTACGCTCGTGAATTATACAAGTATTGGATGAAAGTGAAAGGTGTGAGAAATGCGGTGAGGGGGCCCCCCATTTATAGGGGTTCTTGGGAACCCGAAGAGGCGGCAAGAATACGGAAGGGCGGCAACGATCCAAATTCCAGATACTTTGTGCCTGCCCTTCTGTTTCTCCCTCTCTCCTCATTAATGCCCTGTCCTTTCGGCTGACACTCTGCACGAAACGTCCCACTACTTCACGACGTGACGGTTACGTGCCGACTCACTCTCCAGGTCCCTTCAACTGACATGCCCACGTGTCACGTCCCCGCATCTTCCGGAGCAGGCTCGGGACCCCGACTCTTCACGACTTCGGCAGAAGGAAGCCTCGGCACCTCCCTTGCTCGGAGCATCCGAGGCTTGGGGGGCTTATTGAGGATGTTCACCTCGGCCATCCCGAGTGGCCGAGGTGAACTCACCTCGTCCCTCATCGGAGCTCATCCCTGTCTTGAGCACAACCCCAGAGCTCGGCTTCAACCCTAGTCCACCGTGTAGGTGACCTCGGCACATCCACCTCGGCTGCACGCTGATGATGTCAACCCACCTGACATCATCCAGGACCAGCACTTTATCTGAAAAGCACTGGAGGCACTTAATGGCACCTGCACCATATCCTCCGTCATCACTCCCAGGCGGCTACAGTGTCAGAGTCAGACCTCCTGACAGGAGACAGAGCCGTAATGCCAGAGAGTGGGTCCCGCTAGCATGAGCCTTCCGTCTTGACCACCTCTCTTCTATAAATACCTCACTCACACTCCCAACAAGTAAGCATACACTGTTCATTAACTTACTCTTATTATTCTCGTTCTCATACTAACTTGATCGTCGGAGTGATACCAGGGGAGAAGCCCCGCCACTCACTTCGGACAAGGAGGTTCACTTCGGACACAGGAGTTCACCTCACTTCATCTCAGAGAGGACTGATCCAGGTCGGTCTAGTTACCAACCAAAAATCGCCTCCTCAAGGTCCAAATAAGCTTCTCTAGCTCTTTCGGTTGGCACTTCTCGAAAATCTGTCTCTTAAATTGGGGCCTGGGGCCTCCCGAATCTCTCTTGATATACTAACGGACGGTCCAAGCTTGCTATTAGTATCCTTTCACAAGAAAGTCCGACAAGGAGTTTGGCACTACCTTTTCTTGCCTTTTCTATCTTATCGGGTCTTCCATTTGCAACAAGTTCTCTTTATTACACCCCCATGAATCCACCTCTTTCCTGATTTCAACCCATTTCTTTTATTTTGGAACTCTGGTAGAATGCAAACTTAAATGTATGCAGCAAGATGCAAACTTTAAAGGGAAAAGAAAGCGGGACCAAGAGATGAAGAAATAGGATAGAGGACTCAAATGTATGACCAAATGGGTGAGAATCCTAAGTTTGACAAATTTTTATCAGAAGTGGTCATAAAGTTAGCAGCACCAAGATGATCTATACCTTTCTTTGTTCCTTTGATAAAGTAGCATCCATTGTCTTGGTTACTGGAAACTGTGGTCTAACTTTTTTAGCCTACCCAAATTACTACTGCACTTTATCTTTTGTGGAAAGAGAACAAGAAAGCGAAATGGATGGTAAGCGTAGATATCCTACATTTATATCAACAGGAAAAATATAAAAATGAAAAAAAAAATTTAACCAAACCAATTGACTAATAATTTTATAAATACATATAAATTGTTTGCTCTATATTTTCTTAGCTTTCTTGTTTTTATTAGTGCTAATTCTCAGTTAGAGGCTACTTAGAGGTGTGGCAAAATAAAAACTTCTATCACGGTTGAAACTCCTTTAGATTTTCACATAGAATGAGCCAAATTTAATGAACATCATAACACAGCAAATTTGGCAATTGAAATACATATTTTTTAATTTGAGAAACTAATAAAAACCCATGAAATGGCAAACTTAAGTGCCACCTATTGATTTTGAAAGGAACCTGTTAGCTAAAATTGATTTTTTTTTTCCTGTATTCCTTGTGCTTTTTCTTAAACAGATATTAGCTCCTTATTTAGTTGCTTTGAAATAGTGTTTGTTATTCTTCTGAAGAGTTGGTTTCAACTTGCAACGCTTTGCTTTTATTTCCTATTAAGTCAATAAACAATTAAACACGTGCATATTAACCTCCATATATCATTATTTCTAGTGTTAAATGCATGAAATGATTTACTTTCAAGATTACTAAGGAAAAAATATTCCAAAAGGAATTAGCTTGATTAATAATTCTTGCAAGTTACCAATTATTTTTTAATAACATTAGGTGGTAATTATATTGAAATGACTGGAA